TTCGACAGCAAGTCCAAATGATTCCACATACAGTGATAATTACTTATAAAATCATCGAGACAATTAGCCACGCAATATGTCCAATGATTTTCCAAGGTTTAATCAACCGTCCTCGATCATTGCGCACCGGATTTCATGCGCGAATCCATGAAGAAACGAATTCGGGCGTTCGATGGTAATCCATGCGAGTATTCGCCTACGAGAAACACGTCGATGTGTACGACATTGCATACACACAGCGACATGTTCGCAACACCAATACGCCGTCTCTATGTGCTAAGCTGCATGAAATGAAAACGTGGAGAATCGCTTGCGCAACATTGCAATTAACGTATTCCAGGCGTGTTTCATGTTTACCGCTTAGATTCACTTGTTCTTTTCTATATGAATAATCTATGAAAATGACGTTGCGTTTGGTGTCGCAATGCTCGTTATGGAAATTGTTAAATGAATATTTTCATTTTTAATGCCCGGTCAGTGCGTATCTTCGAATGAAAATTATACACCACCAGTGTCTGTTCTTTATTTATTTATTTTTTTTTTTTTTTTTTTTTTTTTTTTTTGACAATGTGTGCATTGAACTCCTAAGCCAATTTGTCAAACAAGTAGTTAACGAAGCATCGATGATAAGTAGCTTAAAAAAAAGAACGTGAATTTTAATTTCCAATTATGAATCCAATATAGCCAATCGTTACCCGTTGATGATAGCACATGATTTCTCGCGTGAAAATATTTGCTTCGCGTGTGACCATTATTAATACAAAATTGTAGTGTTGTTAAATAATTAAATAAATTAAAAAAACATATATATATATATATATATATATAATATAAAACACAATTGCTTTTAAAAAATATGAAAATATACGAGAATGTCGTGTATTCAATTTCTTCTTACGTGCAACTACTTACTTTCAACGATAAATTGATAAGAGAATATAACATCCATAGATTCATAAATTCGTAAAGCTCCTTACGAATTATTGAAAAGGCCGAAAAGTAAGAAGGTATAGAATTTATAGGGAAAGTTTCCGCCATGTTAACGAGTATTAGCTTGCGCGAGTGCACACAACATACATGTCGAATGCATTTAGAAAATAAGTTTCACGATATTTTCTTCTTTTTACAATAAGTTACTTGCCTTCGTATTCTGTAAATCAGCCTTATAAATAAAATAGAATTTAATTAGAAATAGAGCCCTGATAAGATTCAATCGCTTATTAATTAATATTACCTACGTACGTATGAAGCTATGAGCAACTTATATAATTGAAAATGAATGTCAATAACGAATGGAAATATTATAATTCAGAAATAAGAACATTGGCAATTTTGCCCACAATAGCAGCTTTCTGTTGTGGATCCTTTGAACTCGTCTGGTAAGGTCGGAAAACAATTACTTTTAGTTTTCACGAATTTATGGAGGAATTTTTTTCTGTTTTTTTTTTCTTCATAAAATCCCTTATTAAGAGCAATTTGGATTCATCAAAGTAAAATAATTCAAATAGTCGACGCTTGAGTGAGATAGGAAAAGTTATTCGCTCACAAAAGGCGTAGAATAAACGAAGAAAGGTTTCGATCAGATTCCGAGGACTGGATAATAGAAGGCACCTCGCCTATTATTTCAAATGAGACGGAATAGAGAAAATCACGTTAAATGCGATAGTTTTATGAAACAGTGATAGATATGTAGTTGTAAGGGCGAGTAATAATAGTCGTGTAAATGCCCGACTGATTAGTAGTGGAATCATATATTAATTGGTCAAAGTAAATATTATTTTGAGGATATTATAGAATATGCATCGCATATTCTCGAGAGAGAGAGAGAGAGAGAGAGAGAGAGAGAGAGAGAGAGAGCATTGTAACGAATTTGAAAAATAAGGATTGAACTTGCAGTGCCATAAACAAATAAAATATGTGTGCTTTAAGGTGGATTATGAGGATTAAGCTCAGCTAAATAATTTGCTATTTAATAGAGCGAAATAATCACAACGATCGATATCAAGGAAACAAAACTTTTAACATTTCACACGCGTTAAAAATGTAAGAATTTAATTGTACTAAGTCTAAGTTATTTAATTTTTTTTTTCTTTCACAGATAAGCTAAGTAATAATGGCTTGGATCATTCTAAAGTAATTTAAACGCAAGAGTAAAAAAAAAATTCATGCACGCGTATAGCGGATCCTTTGAATTGCCCGCATATTTGCATCGATCAGGAGCAAGTAAAACATAAACGATGCCAAATGTTATTACACTTGACGTAAGTGAGATTAACTAAGTAACAAACACTAACCAACTAACTAATACTAATCAGTGCTTAAATGTATAAAAAGAATTCACGTTTCAAAATAATACAAATGGATTCAATTTCAAGCACTCGATAACGATTAAGTAAATTTTTTATATCACAGTCACAAGTTCATCCACTCTTTATGAAATTCTTAACTTTTCAGAATCGAGATGCGATCTTAGTTTAAAGACATTGTTTATAAACTTGGGCAAATTATTTGCTATTGCATCAATGAAATAGATATTTTATATGTAATATGAATTATATCTAATTAGCATAATCTAAATAACAATGTTTCTATGCATTATAATATTTAATTGAATATTGTAATAGAATATGTAATAGAATTATTGCTAATTAGAATATTCGATGAATACGTGAAATCTGATGTTTCGTTAGCCAAATATTAAAGCATCCTATTAATCGCTATTAATTTCAACTCAAATATTTTACATTCTTATATCATATGTGTTTAGATTTTATAAACATAATATTATTACGTTGTATTATAATTATAATAATTTTTAATTTATAAACATAATAAATTGAAACGATTAAATTGAACAATTTTGTTACTTCGCCAGCGAATCCATTATACAAACGCGACTACTAATCATATTTATCAAAGAATTCGATCATTTATCGCGACTTCTATCCTCTTCATTCGATTTACAGGCCATTATACGAGAAACTATTTATAATATTTTAAGCTACTAGACACATACTCGACCACTTATATAATATTTACATAATCGAAAGCAGAAAAAATGTACAGAGCTAATGTTACAGTATTTAGAAGAAAAAAAAAACAATCTATTTGGAAAAATTACTAAAGATATCTACATTTAAATGACAAAATTTATAAATTTCTTCTCCTAGCTTACAAATTGCTGTTATTTCTTATAAAATAATGAGTGGAAATTATCAACTTTTTTTTTTTTTTTTTTTTTTTTTTTTTTTTTTTCTTTTTTTTTCTTTTAATTTTAACAACTTTACCTTCGTAACTTGTAACATATGCTTTAGTATACAGAGGTTTTTTTTTTGTTTATTTTTTTTTTTAGAAATTTAATTAGGATCGTGGTGCTTAATTTTTATACATTCTCCTAATAATTTTTTAAATAAAAACTATTTGCCAAAATTATTCGACCAAATGAAAACAAATCAGTACACTTATAGAGAAGCAGCGTAATAACAAATCAAACATGTAAATACAATTAATGAAACATCACGAATGGAAAGTATGATCGACCGGACCGAGACTTTTATCTTTTCAAAAAGCTCAGTTCGATATCAAGATTGTCACACATTATGTGGTAAAAAAAATAGATTTCCATTTCACATTATCGCATTATATTTCATACTCTTTGTTCTCATTACGTACACATGTAATTACACGAATGATCACGATTTTCCTGCATCAATATTAATATTTATTAGCCATTAGTCCAATATCGATCTGAAGACTGTCGGATTTCAAAACGATTTAAAAACGTAAACACGCAATTACGCTTTAAGAATGCGTTTTGCGCGCGCATCCGTGCGCACTCACTGCCCGTATTATACGTAGCTCTGACTTGCCCTTGTGCGCGTAAAACCGCTGCGGTCGCGTATCTTACGTCGTAGCTGCCGTATAAAATGTCGAAACGGCGTAAGATATTAATTGGCCTTTCTAGCGATCGAATCAAAGTTGTGTGCACTTGAAAATCGGCCTACATATCGACCTGCATGTTTTCTCTTGATCGCGCATGTGTTTGTGTCAATGACTATCGCCTTCATGTATTGCATTATTTTAGTGTGCGTAATGTGAATGTCGACTGTCGAGGGACTTGACTTTCTGTAGTTTACATATGTGGTACTCCTTCATTTTAGTTTTCTTCTGCGCAAACAGACGTTTGCACGACGTGCCTTGATGACTGTTATTTCGTTTATTCGTCACTGCGATAACAACAACAACAACAACAACAACAACAATAGCAACGACGACGACATCGACAACGACAACGACAACGACGACAAGGATAACAACTACAACAACAATAACTTTAATAATAACAATAATAATAATAAGGACCGAAGACTTTCGGATGCCGCTGGGAGAGAAATACAAGATTATCGGTGGCAACCTTTAAGAAACTTGAGTGACTAAAATAATGGCTCGCCTACATTATCGCCGATTGTAAAAGCAGTTAACATCATTTTTAACATTGTGATAATATCTTTCTCCTTTGTTACATGTAACACTGCTCGTCTTGAGCTACCGAGATATTTTACCATTAATGTTTATATCTGTTTTTGATAATGAAATTTTACAAATAGCTGTTATTTCTACTCAAATATATACAGTTTTTAATAATTAACTTCTTGTTTATACTTATATATGAGTATATATATTTATATATATATATATGTATATATATAGATATTTATATATATATATATATATATATATATATATATATTATATATATATATATATATATATATAATTTTGATTATTCTTACAACACAATGAAATCATTGAAAATGGTCATTAAACAAACTGTTTTGTTTTTACAATTTGATAATGTATTTTAATATTCGCACAAGTACCTGTGAAATAATTCAGAGGTGCTGGCTTAAAATAAGATATAGAAGTAATATTGATTACAAAACTTAAATAAAATAAGAAATGGGTTTTGATGTCAATCGATTCCAAGGTCCTGTTGATGAAGAGCTTATTTGTCCAATTTGCTCTGGTGTCTTACAAGATCCTGTACAGGTAGCTATTCATATATGCACATAGATGTATATGCGTATACGCGCATATGTATGTATATTAGTTGTTTTACTTGGTCGAATGAGAATTTCAGATTGCGTAAATTACAATTTTAAACCAAGTTAATCAATGGTTATTTTGCTTTCGCTGACTATAGAACGGATGGCCTTATTTATAAAACATTTTGTTGCAGGCACCGGATTGCGAACATGCATTTTGTAGACTTTGTATGAACGAGTGGATTAATCGACAGCCAACGTGTCCGTTAGATCGCACTCCAATAACAGCGGCACAATTATTACCGGCACCAAGAATTTTACGAAATTTATTGTCCAGATTACGAATAAAGTGTGATAACTTTGTTCATGGTTGTCAGCAAGATATTAAATTGGATGCACTAATGGCACATTTGGAAGAATGTGAATATAATCCAAAAAGACCGATAACTTGTGAACAAGGATGTAGTTTAATTATTCCTAAGGATGAAATGAAGAATCATAATTGCGTGAGGGAATTGAGAAATTTAATTCAATCACAGCATCAGAATGTAACGGAAATGAGAAGGGAATTAAGTGAACAACAATTTCAACTTAATGAACAAAAGAGAGAAATTCATTTGTTAAAAGACTTTATGAGAGCTATGAGGGTGTCAAATCCGATAATGCGAGATATTGCGGAACAAATGGAAAGAGACGAAGTAGCTAGGTGGTCTGCAACATTGCCGAGAGCAAGAGTGACTCGGTGGGGGGGAATGATATCCACTCCCGATGAACTCCTACAGGTAATGTTTTATTATTAAAAACTATATCAATGGTATTATATTACAAACTATATCGTTGGTTGTTCTATGTACTTTCTGATAATCATTATGCTTGGAAATTGAGCATAACGTATAGAAAATTTTACTTATTTGCAATATATTTATTTATTTACATGAATTATAATAAATCTTGCAAACTAATTCATGTATTTATTTTAATGGACGTTAAGATAAATCATTTAAATTAGCTTATGTACTACATAATTAAACAGTAATATTGATTTATAAAGAAATATATTTTCAATACATCTATATTAATCTGATGATAATTGTTTATAGACAATGATAAAAAGAACCTTGTCAGAGTACAATTGCCCACCCCATGTAATCAACGAATTAATGGAGAACTGTCACGAGCGAAAATGGCCTGCGGGATTAAATTCCTTAGAAACTCGACAAAATTCAAGACGTCAATATGAATCTTATGTTTGCAAAAGAGTACCGGGCAAACAAGCCGTTATTGTTTTACATTGTGACAACACACACATGCCTGAAGACATGACTGTCGAGCCAGGATTGGTCATGATATTTGCTCATGGTATCGAGTAAATTTGAATAACACATGAAATTATATTTTTCTATTAAACAAAGAGAGAAGCACTGACTTTTTGCATTGTGTACCATAAATGCCTCAGCATTATTTGTGGTCGCTAGCCTAAAAAAAGCATTCTACTTGGATTATAATCATTGTGTCTTTTAATGTTATATTCTTTTTTAGAATTTTTTCAATTAGTTTTTAAAGTGGTTATGCAGAACATTTTTTCTGTTAATATTAATTTTAGTATTATATAAGAATTGTGATAATTATTTTATAAAACAAAAAAAAAAAGAACAAGTGATCCATTATCGTGATGCATAAAATCCAAAAACAAAACACAAGGTTATGTATTTAATCATGTATATTAAAAATAAAATAATAAAAATGTTGAAAAGTTACACTTACATAAATTTTGTATTCTGAAAGAAATGATGAACAGTTAATTTATGATCTTGTAGCTATTGAAATAATAAAATTTAAATATTGCTAAAGAAATATCTTATATAATTAAATTATATTTTATAAAGTAACACTTTTTCACTAATAGTTTTTTCATTTTTTAATATTATGATTATTAAGCTATCATAATATTCAAAATTTTTAAAAAAATATCCCTAGTAAATGAGAATTTTATAATATTCTTTGTAATCTGTTCGTTTACCATATACACTTAATTGTGCATAAATGTATGATTATTTAGTGTTTTTAATTGTATCATAATAGAATAATTAATTATATTATTTTACATTTAAATTAAGTATTTTCAAAAGTTATAAAAACTAAAATAATGTTAAAAATTTTTTTATTTCATTAGTTTCACCTTTAAAAGACTGTTTATGGTAGAAAAATTTGAACACTCAGAGAAATCAGTAGCTTTAAATAAACAAAATTAATTTAATCTTATAAATTGTATTAATAAGTAATTTATAGTCTTATACAGATTTTTAAAAGTATATTTTTTTAAAAACCTTGTTATTATTACATTATTGATTTAAGGACTGTTAATGAAAAAATTTTATTCAAATAATTTATAATGGAACATGTCATTACAAAAAAAATAAATAAATAAAGATACATTATTAAACACTGAAATCCATTCCATTCTTAATTTCTTAAGAAATTAATATTAATTTGTAATAAAAATAATCAAAGTTCCTTTATCAATAAATTAAAAAAATTTATGAACTGTTTAACATTGTTCGAGCCGATGTTTATGAATTCTATACAATAACATTACTATTAAAATATTATTTATAAACTTTAAAGTGGAGAAGGGTGAAAATGAATGTTTCTTATCTTAAAGCTTTTGTTAATGTGAAATACACATTGACACGTTAATTAAACTACAAATAAAACTATAATATAATTGTAATAAAATTTTATTATTTTAAACGAGTGACTGTAAACAAACACATAATATAAAAAATTCTAATATGTGTGTGTTTAATTGTTTGTTTGTTTGTTTGTTTGTTTGTGTGTGTGTGTGTGTGTGCGTGTGCGTGTGTGTGTGTGTGTCTAAAATAAACTACAAATATTTATTCATCTATATATATACATATATTGATCGTGTATTTTATTTTTAGTAATATATTTGTATATGTAAATATGTATATATCATTTTTAGTAATATGTTTCTTAATTAACTCTTCGATAAATAATTCTTATAGATTATCAAAATATCACTATGCTGTTGAAAAATATTTTTATATTTTTTAAAACGCGCTTTTCTTTATTTTTACATTAATGAAACATCATCAAGTTTATATTTAGGCACGTGGACACCTAGACAAAAATATTCACGGAATAACATAACACGAAATATACTGTGTTATTTCTTTAAATATATGACGTTTTATATTTTTTAATACATTGAAAAATATTAATAATTCAATTTATTATAATTATAATAAGCCAATCTATGAAGAATTTTAATATAATCGCGTTTATTTCGAATATAATATTTAAACTACCAATTAAAGATATCGTATTTTTATAAATTTTGAGACAAACCAGTGTATCCGTTTACATATACGTACAAACTATATTCATAAATTTAAAATTTTAGTATTACGTGACAACTTGCAATAAGCAAATAAGATTTCCTATGAAATAAAATACATGAATACGTAAGAGGTAATAAACCTAATGTATTTATTTCGAAGATAATACATGTTTGAACAGAATTTCTTGTATAAGATAAAGTAATGAAACGCACTGAACGTACTTTAATAAAATAGATACTAGTTGCGGAAGGTGAAGACAGCATTTTTTTTACACCATAGTGTGATGTTCGTGATAAAACAATCACTTTCCTGACTGGATCATTATCCGATCAATCAATTTGCTGTTTCTTCGACATATCGATTGTCGAATATTTGACAAATTTTCATCTAGAATAACTACCGAATATATGATTTAAATTAAATATATGTTTGCACATTTTTATTGAATAATAGTCGTGTCATTGAATATTTATACGTAAAAGTGATTGTGAAGGCTTGAAAGTCTAATTTAAATTTAAAAATACTATAAATGATTGAAGAGCTATAAGATTATAAGAAACGATATTTATATTAAAAAAAAAAAATAAAAAAATAACGATTTTTTTAAATAAATAATATAAAATAGAGTTGAACTATGTATAATAATTATGTAAATTACAATAAGTGTATATATTCTGAGGATTTGCATGTGTATATTGAAAAAAATAAGGAAGAAAGATCATAGAAATTGTTATCGATTGATATATAAATATATATATATATATATATATATATATAATGACGATTTTTAACAAAATAAACTTATTTACATATCATTTATTATAATATTAATGTTTTTCAATTGATTTATTACCTTGCTGAGGCAAAAGTTAGTTCAAGTCTGTGGAAATACGGTAACGATTAATAATCCGTCATGCTCACAGTCTAGTTTTCTTTTATTATCGGTCTGAAGATAAACTTTATTGGACATTTTTTATTTCGATAATATTATTTAACTAATTATAGAGCGACAAAACGTGTTTATTATAATATCAAATATATATTTGTAATTTAAGAAAGAGACAAAAAGAAAGAAAAAGGACTGCTTCCATCGTGCCGTTCTTGAAAGTATGTTTAATGAAAAATTTTGAATGTTACATTACTTTTTAATGATTGACCTATACTTTATTATCATCTATTTTTCATAGGGGTCATTCTATTTTGGATCATATCACTCGTCCACTCCTATATCATTGGATAGACTTTAGATTTTCTCTAAAATTCTAGACCATAGAAATTGAAAAAAAAAAACAAAACAAAACAACTTGAAATTAAAATCATTGAAAATGAAATTAATTATTTAAGTAACTGAAAATTTTTATATTCGTTCCTAAATTACCTTCGTAATATTAATGCTATTAGTATTCGAATAAATTATAATCAATCTTTTTTTTTTTTTGGCACGTATTTGATTTTAAAGTAATTATTGTTTTATTTAAGATTCGAGAAGTTATTAAAAATCAAATGAAACTGAATAATATCAAAATGTTGTATATTTTTATTATAGGTTGACAAAAAAAAAAATACATTAATTGTAACGAATTACTTATTGTGCAATAAATTAATGTATATGCGACAATAGTTGAGGAAAAGCAAAATTGTTAATAGATCATTTATCATTTATTTCATAAGAGATGTTTTTCAATTTTTGTAATTTGTTGTTTTATTATTCCATAAATTATTACAATAATATCTGTGATTGCAGTGACTTTCCGAGGTTACGAGCTGATTTTCTGAGACTACGTTCAACCGATCGCAGTATCGCGAATCAATTGGGTAAATAAACAAAATTCTGACAATATAATTCACGAAAAATCATGTAAATTTGTTATCGATAAGCTGGTCAGAAAGTCGGTAATTCTAATATTGAATAGTTTCTAATTCGACTGTACGGCACATAAAGAGAACGTGGAAATATCTAAAAATATGAAGCCATATATCTTATTTCCGGAACAAGAACTTTTCAACCAATGAAAGGATTCAAGTCAACAATTTTAATCTCTTAGGTGGGTTCAGAAACAAAAATTAGCTTTTTATTCGTGAAATCTTCAATGACGATGTCAAACTGTTGCGCTCGACAATTTTATCAAACCAATATCCTTATGGCACGTCGTTGTACTCGTCACTTGCGAGTGCAAAGATCAGTTGCCGAATTTAAATTTACAAATTGCACAGTGCACCATACCCCCGAATTGCAACGTTAATAGTCTCGGATACACAGACACACAGCCCTAAAATTCTCATCCACACGGGCTGAGTAGATAGATAGGATAGACGACGATACTACTATCGATATTATACGACATTTTACTTAGATCTTGTTGGACGTGGAGGTTCTTACATCTAAGCTATACAAAATAGAAGAAATTTTATTTAAAACGAGTAATCGATTATGGTATTGCGAATGGAAATGGCTAGTGCGACTATACGGGCATTTGCAATCACGTATTTCTTGATTGCAGAGAACAATTTCATTTATCATGAGAATTTATGATAATGTAAGTTGAAATAGATACAATTATGGTAAAAAACGTTTTTAATGATTCATAGCGACGATTTTAATTTTTCTAAGATACTTTCACGTTCACAATCGTGTATAAGCACACGTTACAGCGACTTGAGCGAATTTTCTATCTTTTAATTATTCTTAACACTTCTTCACATGGCTATTAATAAATTAATTAATTTTTACTTACGTCTAAAGAATAAAATCATTTCCAAAGACTTACTCACAACTAACTCGGCTTACAATTCAGAAGCTAGTAGCTTATTTTTGAAATTTAAATTTTCTAATTTTTGACATGAACTTAACTCTACACAATATACGGCCATACAATGCAAATTCTCGGTCACGTGTTGCTGCTGCTCATGCATATTTACCGCTGCAAAGCGTCTGATCTCGTCATTTGCAAAATTTGACGTTACTTGAAATCCTACGGCAATTAAGTTTATTCACATTTGGCAATGCTCCTATAATTTTTCTTATATATATATATATATATATATATATATATATATATATATATATAATTATTTTACTCCTGTGTTAATGTGACAAATGCATAGAATAATAGTCGACTATTACCGTTTACTAAAATAAGGATTATTAAAATTTGTTATAACGAATTTTGATATTGAATTTAAAGAAATTCAATATGCCGTATCGTCAAATACAAAGCATAATCAATAATGTGTAAAACATGTGAAAAATTTAATTAGGAAGAAGACGAAAAAAAAACAAAATCTTGAAAAAATGAAAAAAATATGCGTATTTATGGATAAAAATTATAAAAGTTAGGTGTGCGTGTGTGCGTGTGTGGGTGCGCGCGCGCGCGCGCGTGTGTATTTATCGAACCTTCTCTTCTCTTCGGATACTTTGCTATTTTTAAAACTCATTTTAAGCTTACATGGTTTTTCAAGGAATCAGGTATCTCAAACTAATAAGTATCAAATTTATGTTTTTTATTTTTTACAAGTGTTTAATAAGCCATTAATTTAATTGAATTTAACTGGAAAGATGGTGAAAAAAAAGTCGTTAATACTAATGATCTCGAAATTGAACTCGGAAACTAAATTACGCATGATTAATTTCAATGTTTCATAATATTCGACGCCTTTCGATCTATTCCAATTCCGGAAAGGATATATTTAACACACTTCGCGATGGGTTTATTATTTTAGCTTTTGCATTCCATTGCAACTCGCTTCGTCAAACTAAAAGTTATTTTTATCCACTTCATAATTGCCGAATGTAACTTTTAGTATCTTGTAATAAATATGTTTGAAGTTTATTGAGTCAATAATAACTTTAATACCTTGTTTTAAACTTGGATAATCGTTTGCGTTTCTACACCACAACAGTATGGAAGCCTTTAATTTTTGGGGGAGGGGGTGTGTAGCGGCTGAGGAAGGGATGGGAGAGGGGGGGGGTATATATCTCTCTCTCTCCTTTCTTATAATTTTCATTTTAATTATGATTAGAAAATTCTTTTTTTAAATATATATATATATATATATATATATATATATATACAAAGGTCATTACTGACTACATAACTATTTTAATAATTTTAATATCATACACAAATATATTTTAAACTTACCGTTACGCATTAAATTGCAAATAAATTTAGCAACTATCCCTTGGTGATGGCACGATTATGGATTACTCGGGTCTCCTTGCCATACTCAGCAATAACATCACAATAACATCACAATAAATATAATATAAATATAATAACGATAGTTTCCGAGACTATTAAATGCACTTATATTAAGCTGAATTATAATGTGCAATTAGCCAGCCGTCATTGAGGCTTCTAGCCTCTCTAAGTAGTCGCACAACCGATCAGGTTATAAAAAAAAAAAAAAAAAAAAAAAAAAAAAAAAAAAAACATACCATCTCATTCCAAAATATTTACGTTTTTTGCATTATCGCACGGAATAACGCGCAGCTAAATAATATTCGTGTCATAGCTATGTCACTTTGCACGGAGCCACTTATATTTACAAAACGAATCGCCCGATCGTTTTAAGCATTCGTTTCTAAAATGTCCACGACTAACATCCGGCAATATTAGCGCGCGGAGACGCGCTGATAATTTTTCCCGGAATGAATACATTGCTCTACACACTTGCAGCGACATTATTTAATTTTTTTTGTTTCGTTTTGTTCTATTTGCGAAATATTTACCAAGTAGGGGCTTTATCGAGCCAGTTGAGCGTCGCTCCTTCCAATGAGCGTAGTTGACACTCCGAGGATGTGCCAGGGACTTATGGTGCAGAGTAAATAATCTGACCAGTGAGTGTGTAATATCGAGCCAGGATCTTGATTGTAATCGGCAATAGCTCATACATTCCATTGTTAAAAATCTTTTAATGAGAGAGATGGTTAATTGTATTGTGAAGCGATTGAAGAGCGAAACGGTATTGTTGAATAACGTAATGGAGCGATAATATCCGGCGATTATGAGAGAATATATAATGTTTATGCAAGTAATTGTATTTGGACCCATGGAGTTTTTATTGGGCCTGTGTATGATGGTTACTTGATGATGTATCGGTGACACTCGTCTCTTAACGGAATCTTTCAAAAAAAAAAGTTTAATAAAGGCACATTAATAAGAGAGATAGATTTCCCTGCGAATCTTAAAGATTCCCTTAGTCGATCTAACTTTAAACCGCACGATTTATCAATAAAGAGAGCTCCCCAGTCAAATGCAAGTGATAAGTGCTTTAGGTATTCGAGAGGGTACTCGAGCACACTGATATAAATTGTAGTTATCGTTGTTGAAGCACTTTTCTGAATTGTCGACGTAAATTGCACTCGAGCAATCGACGATAACATCTGTGTCGCAGCCAGTGTGATTTTCATGGCAGAATTTATTTTTAAAGTCATTATGCTCCTATCGTTTATTATTAATATGTATATATATATATATATATATATATATATATATATATATACAGAAATAAATGTCGCCTAATCACATTCTGCTTCAAAAGATTACAAATAATTAAATCGTTGGTTAATCATCAATAAAATCTATATTGTTAAGAAAATGTATACGAAACAAATTATAGTAACCTATAGTACAAGTGCTCAAGTTTTATTAAACTAAGGGTTAAACCTACTAAGGTTTTATCCTACTAAGGGTTAATTTTCAATTGGTTTTATTACTATACGCATAATGTAAAATTTCAGACAAAACAAATCATTACGATAATGTTGATATTTGGTCGAACGCTTTTAGCAACAATCAAATCGAAGCATTTTTAACAAAAATCGTTGGTTCGCTTAGCTTTACTTTGAATTTAAGTTTTGTTACTTTCGCAGAAAAGGAGATTTCATTTATTATATATTGTATGAGATGAAAAATTAATTTATAGTCACAATCTCAGATACCCGTTTTAAAAACTTGAATACTCGCGCAAGAAATTTTATTTAAATTCTTCCGAACGACATGTACAGTACTTTCGGTAAGTATACCTGTCCATATAACAAGACAGATTAAATAAATTGCACGATTATAGTTCGTAATAAGATTAAAATATTCTCTGTATCCTCCGAGGAGCTTAAAAATCATAATTCCTAAAAGGCATTTGATATAAAAGGTATTATCTTAACTTTAATCCCAGGATGGGCAGTTATATATATATATATATATATATATATATATATATATATATCTAAACGACTCTATAGTTTGTCTTGAATTAACCTTTTTCCGTTTCGCATATAAGTGGAGGCCGAGGAAGAACAAAAACAAACAAAGAAAAATTCCATAAAAATCTAATGTCAACTTAATGATTTGAAGGCAAAATGTAGATGTATGTAAGGCTAAGGCTTGCAAGCAAAGGCTCGAGCATTCCTTTCCAAATCTGCTCGTGCCTTCGTAAAAGTTAAAGACATAAAGTTTCATTTTACAAAAATTGCACGGACAAAGACCGAGTTCGGCTTGTCTAATTAAGTATGTCAATTTAAATGCGTGTGCCTGGAAAGACAAGGGCGCAATGGACGTCCGCTAAAAACAGTTAAATACAGTTGCCGAGGATCGCGGGCCCTCGGTAGCATCGTCTTTGCGCGCGATCGGCCCTTCGACGGGCCCCTCGGCCCGAGCTCACCCGAAGCGACGGCTCGTCTATAATCGCGCACTCCTCCCCTGAAACGAAAAGAGAGGCGCGAAAAAAAAAGGCGCTCGCGGAAACCGGTCGTACCTCCCCGACTCCCCGTGGCGGGGGTGTCGGCCCGTGAGCGTCACGGGGTGCGGGACGGCGGGCTGGCGGGCGGGGGAGGGGGGAGGGGTGAGGGTGGGAGGGATGGAGGAGCAGGAACGTGCGGGGCTAGAGAGAGGGGAGTCGATGATGTGGGGGCGGGGGTGGCGCTGGGTCGGCGGGGCGGGAGGGGGGGAGGGGGATCGAGAGCAGCGTCGGGAGGGGGGGAGGTGGATCGAGAGAAGCGTCGTGGTAGTCGGCGAGCGGTCGGGACGTCGTCAGTCCGCAGCGAGAAGCCGGTGCCGCGCGGCTTCACTGGAGACGCGCGCCGGAGCTGCTTTTGGGAGGCTGGGGATAGGAGGACCCGCTAGGTAATGGGCGGTCGTGGCGCCGCGTCGGCGGCGACGGCGGTGGCGGCTCTGCTGCTCGCCGCTTTACTCACCGGATGTCAAGCCGAGATCCTGACGCCGCCGTCCTTCAACTTGGCCGAGGGCAAGGAGATCGTAGCGTCGGCCACGTGTGGCGTTGAGTCCGCCGGCCCGGAGCTCTACTGTCAGCTCGTCGGGGCCAACTCCGATCAGGAGGCCAACATCAATCAGAACATCATACAGGGACAGGTACAGCGTCCGTGCTCGGCTCCCCCGCCCCTTCCCCTCTACGCGCCACGCTCTTACGCTCTCTTTTCGTCTCTCTCTATCTCTCTCTCTCTCTCTCTCTCTCTCTCTCTCTCTCTCTCTCTTTCTCTCTTTCTTCGTCTCTCTTCATCGCTCTCCCCGGTATCCCCTACCCTCCCCGCATGCACTCACCCACACCCTCACTCTCTCTCTCTCTCACTCCCTCTCTCTCTCTCTCTCTCTATCTCTCTCTATCTCTCTCTCTCTCTCTATCTCGATACCTCTCCGTATCTCCACGTCGTTGCATCTCTACGTATTTACGTCTTCCTTTCTTTGTCTTACTCCTTCCCTCTCCTGGCATCTACATTATTTATATTACGCTTCTGCGGAGCGAGGACTTGGCTCTAAATTTATGGTGTTCTATTATGGGAAGCGTAAAACACTGGATGCTGGGCGACGCACGCGCGCCGCTAATTCAGTAAACGAAACGGCTGCCGATTTTTCGACGAAGAGCCTGCGCGTCGTATACAGGGAACTCGGTAACGATCCTCTTGGGGACGCGGTTCTCGGCGCTTTCTTATTTTACTTGCTCGATCACGTGACCGCGTACCCGGGGATACGGCCGCGAGTTTGATTTTAAAGCGCCAAACGCGCGCCAAGGTTTTAATGGAAGTTTCATGCCGCGCGGCTTTTACGACGACGATTTTTCATTTGGGAATCGATGAGAGAGACTAGGGGCCAGGATTGCTTATGTCCTTACACTGAGCGAAGCATTAGGATCAAACGGGGTAATCGTGATATGTGCCTTAGCAAAGATGCTAAGATCGATAAGGACGTCGTTGGCCGAGGCGGCGTTTTGTACAAAAGTTGGCAGAAAATTATATTGAATTTCAAAAGGAATGATTTTATAACAAAGATAGGTGACGCTCGTGATACTTATAGACTCTATAGATTATGATTTAAAGACGCTGACTTTACGGTATTTGGTGAAATTGCAACGTACGTGAGCATGGAAGGAGTGGAAAATAACGAAATTGCCAGAGGGCACATATTTTTATGACAAAATATTTTCTCAAGGTCTAAGATAAAGCGATAATCGGTGCCGGTGAATCCTCGCTTATTCGTCATTGTCGGAGTCCTTCTCGTAAGTTTACAAGTGCCGGCATATATATATATATATATATATATATATATATATATATATATATATATATATATATATAAATCGAGAAAAAAGCAAAAATAACGTGTAATAATTATTATCTTCGCGGTTAAGGCTTTACAAAGCCTCGGTCTGTTGGGAAATAGTCGCGTAATATTTATCGCAAAGTAGTTTCTTCTGATTAATGGTCAGCGATACTTGATACAGAGTAATGTCGCCCTGCATAGGGAAATAAGATCTCCTCTATGTGATACAAACTTGGCGTTGTTTCATTGAGGTTTCGTCGAATGATTCGAGAGGAAGCGATAAGACTGACCGATACAACTGACCCCGCGATAACATCCAGACCATCGTCGCGACTTGCCTCGGTTCTTTCAATTTCCCTTAATACCACGAATTTCGCGCCTCTCCCGCTTTTCCCCAAAATACCGAATAATATCCATGATTCATGAATTTCAGCAATGCGACTACTGCGATCCCAATGATTCCGAAAAACGACATCCCCCTGAATATGCCGTCGATGGAATGGAAACGTGGTGGCAGTCGCCACCGTTATCGAGGGGCAAAAAATACGAGGAGGTTAATCTCACGATCAATCTTGGACAGGTGTGTATTAATGCGAAAATGAAAAAGTAAAATCACAGCGACAATAGCATTTTTGCTTTTGATATTTCGTAAGTGTAACTGCACAAGGATAATGGACGAGTCGCGTCGATTGTCAAATTTTCGATCTTCTTAGACATTAAATATTTGGCCAAATGAAACGACGAGCGTAACTTTATAAATTCCTAAGTGCAAGAGTTCTCATGTTTCATAGGTACTTGCAGCATACGAGCTTGATAAATTTCCAGTAAAAGAACTCATCGAATCCGGGTGACTTTGTTTTTTTTTTTTTTTTTTTTTTTTTTTATTACAAAGCAAATTATAAAACCAAATTCCAATATCGCATTTGAATTTTAATACCCGAATAGATAGTACATTGTTTACGTCGTTGAGCGACGGCGATTCTCGTAATTTCATCGAGCATATCTGTAATGTGGATATATTCATTCGCTACTATTTCGGAAATAAGAAATTATTCTCCTCTACCCGCCACTGAATTACCCGACGTTTAATTAAGCCGCGAATGTACGAGAGGGAGTACGGCGCTGTCCACGTGTAAAATTGCGCG